AGAGCTTGTTGGAGTGGTTGAAGATGATGAGCGCAATCTCACAGTCGCACAGCACGCTCAGCTCGTACGCCTTCTTCATCAGGCCAAACTTGCGCTTCGTAAATGTCACCTAAAGCAGCGGAATAATAATAAGAGTCATAGTATTAACAGTAATAATAATAATAATAATAATAATAATAATTATTATTATTATTATTATTATTATTATTATTATTATTATTTGGGAAGTGTTCAACTTGTGATTTGGTGACACGAAATCCAGCATATAGAGTTCGTTTGCTGTGACATACTGTGCTTTTGTGTCAATAATAATAACAGTAATAATAATAATAATAAGAGAACCATAGGATCCTACAGTTGGAAGGGACCCCCAAAGGCCATCCAAACCAACCTCCAAACAGAAGGCTATCCAGCCTTGGCTTCATAATAATAATAATAATAATAATAATAATAATAATAATAATAATATGATTATGATAATAACAACAACAATAAGAGAACCATAGGATCCTAGCGTTGGAAGGGACCCCCAAAGGCCATCCAAACCAACCTCCAAACAGAAGGCTATCCAGCTTTGGCTTCATAATAATAATAATAATAATAATAATAATAATATGATTATGATAATAACAACAACAATAAGAGAACCATAGGATCCTAGCGTTGGAAGGGACCCCCAAAGGCCATCCAAACCAACCTCCAAACAGAAGGCTATTCAGCCTTGGCTTCATAACAATAATAATAACAACAATACTAATAATAATGTTGCCTGAAGGCCATCCAGCCCAACTCCCTTCACCAGGGCAAGAAAACACCATCAAAGCCCTCCTGACAAAGGGCCATCCAGTCACAGATATAGATACGATGTGTATATGACAGAGATAGTATCATAGATCTGAAAGGGACCCCTCAAGAAGGACAATGAAATGTATGCAAAGCAGATGACCTTGACATCAACGCTGACCAAGAAACAACAAGAAATACTGTTGACCCACAAGCAGAAAGACATGGCATGTGTTAGAAGCCAACACTTTGTCATTATTTTCCCGATGACCAGAATGGGCCACCGCAACGCCTGGCAGGGGATGGCTAGTAATAATAATGATACCTCTGGGAAGAGCCCAATATTCAGAGACAAATAATAATAATATTAATAATATTAGAAGTCAGAAGGGGCCCCCACACTGAGGCCTTCTCACATCATGGCCTCTCACAGACTGAGGGTGAGCTAACACTGAGGCCTTCTCAAACTGAAGTCTCTTACAGACTGAGGGTGAACTAACACTGAGGCCTTCTCACACAGAGGCGTCTCACAGACTGAGGGTGAAGTAACACTGAGGCCTTCTCACACCGAGGCCTCTCACAGACTGAGGGCAAACTAACACTGAGGCCTTCTCACATTGAGGCCTTTTCCAGACTGAGGGTGAGCTAACACTGAGGCCTTCTCACCCAGAGGCCTCTCACAGACTGAGGGTAAACTAACACTGAGGCCTTCTCAAACCGAAGCCTCTTACAGACTGAGAGCGAGCTAACACTGAGGCCTTCTCTTACCGAGGCCTCTCACTGACTGAGGGTAAACTAACACTGAGGCCTTCTCACACCGAGGCTCCTGACAGACTGAGAGCGAACTAACACTGAGGCCTTCTCTCACTGAGGCCTCTCACAGACTGAGGGAGAACAAACACTGAGGCCTTCTCACACCGAGGCCTCTCACTGACTGAGAGTGAACTAAAACTGAGGCCTTCTCACCCAGGGACCTCTCACGGACTGAGGGCGGGCTAGCACTGAAGCCTTCTCACCCAGAGGCCTCTCACAGACTGAGGGTGAACTAACACTGAGGCCTTCTCACAGACTGAGGGCGGGCTAACACTGAGGCCTTCTCACAGACTGAGGGTGAGCTAACACTGAGGCCTTCTTACACCGAGGCCTCTCACAGACTGAGGGCGAGCTAACACTGAAACCTTCTCACACAGAGGTCTCTCATAGACTGAGGGTGAACTAACACTGAGGCCTCTCACAGGCTGAGGGCGAGCTAACACTGAGGCCTTCTCACACCGAGGCCTCTCACAGGCTGAGGGCGAGCTAACACTGAGGCCTTCTCACACCGAGGCCTCTCACACCGAGGCCTCTCACAGACTGAGGGTAAACTAACATTGAGGCCTTCTCATACCGAGGCCTCTCACTGACTGAGAGTGAACTAACACTGAGGCCTTCTCAAAGCGAGGCCCCTGACAGACTGAGAGCGAGCTAACACTGAGGCCTTCTCTCACCGAGGCCTCTCACAGACTGAGGGAGAACAAACACTGAGGCCTTCTCACACCGAGGCCTCTCACAGACTGAGGGTGAACTAACATTGAGGCCTTCTCACAGACTGAGGGTGAAATAACATTGAGGCCTTCTCACACCGAGGCCTCTCACAGACTGAGGGTAAACTAACACCGAGGACACTCACAGACTGAGGGCGAGCTAACACTGAGGCCTTCCCACACCGAGGCCTCTCACAGACTGAGGGTAAACTAATACTGAGGCCTTCTCAAACCAAGGCCTCTCACAGACTGAGGGTGAACTAACACTGAGGCCTTCTCACAGACTGAGTGTGAACTAGCACTGGTTTTCTCACACCAAGGCCTCTCACAGACTGAGGGCGAGCTAACACTGAAGCCTTCTCACACCAAGGCCTCTCACAGACTGAGGACGAGCTAACACTGAGGACTTCTCACACTGAGGCCTCCCACTGACTGAGGGAGAGCTAACACTGAGGCCTTCTCACACACAGGCCTCTCACAGAGGGTGAACTGACACAGAGGCCTTCTCAAACCGAAGCCTCTCACAGACTGAGGGTGAACTAATACTGAGGGCTTCTCACAGACTGAGTGAACTAACACTGAGGCCTTCTCACAGACTGAAGGTGAGCTAACACTGAGGCCTTCTCACACTCAGGCCTCTCACAGAGGGTGAACTAACACAGAGGCCTTCCCGCACCGAGGCCTCTCACAGACTGAGAGCAAGTTAACACTGAGGCCTTCTCACACTGAGGCCTTCTCACACACAGGCCTCTCACAGAGGGTGAACTGACACAGAGGCCTTCTCAAACTGAAGCCTCTCACAGACTGAGGGTGAACTAACACTGAGGCCTTTTCACAGACTGAAGGCGAGCTAACACTGAGGCCTTCTCACACTCAGGCCTCTCACAGAGGGTGAACTGACACAGAGGCCTTCTCAAACTGAAGCCTCTCACAGACTGAGGGTGAACTAACACTGAGGCCTTCTCACAGACTGAAGGCGAGCTAACACTGAGGCCTTCTCCCACTGAGGCCTTCTCACAGACTGAGGGGACATGGGGCACCCACCCTCGGCTTGATAATAATAGTAATAGCATTGATAACCAATCAAAATCTGATAATAACGGCACTAATAAGGGAACCCTGGGATCCCCGAGGTCCCTTCGGACTCCCAGGCCGGGCGCTGACCTCTCCCCTCCCCTCCTTTGTGGTCACGTGACGGAGGAAGGACAGCTGCGGCCGCCTGGACGGGGATTACGGCCCAATCCCATTAAGCGCTTTGGGCACATTGGAGGGAAGCCCAGGGATCGGGAACGAGGGAACGAGGGAAAGGACGAGAGGAGGAGGAGGAGGAGGAGGAAGAGGAAGGCCTCCCGACACATCGAGAGGATAACAACAACAACAATAATAATAAGAGTCGGAAGGGACCCCCAAAAGGGCATCCAGCCCAACCCCTTCCATGCAGGAAGGCACAATGCGATCCCTCCCAACAGATGGCCATCCAGCCTCTGCATAAACCTAACCCTAACAACAACAACAACAAGGACGATAATAATAATAATACCAATGCTAACAATGCACCACGCCTAAAAAATAATATTGCAAACTACTGTTCATAAATAATAATAAACAGAATAATAACACTATTGATAAATAACATAATATAAATAACTAATATTAAATAACAGCGGTAGCAAAAAAAATTACTAAAAATAATAATAATACTAATATATATTGCAACTCAACAAAAATAATAAATACTAATAATAATAGATAACAATAAATACAAAATATTGAAATTACTAATGTTATAAAATAATGTCCATAAATATTATAAATAATAGTAATATATGTTGATAATATAAAAGATAAATTATTAATAAATGATAATTACTAATACAAACAAATACTATTAATAAATAATAATATTAATAAATAAAATATAATCTTAATACTAATGTAAAATAGTAAGAAAAAATATAAATAAATATTAATAATAGTAATAAATGTTGATAATATAAATATAAATTATTAATAAATGATCATTATTAATACAAATAAATACTGCTATTAATAAATAATAATAATAAATAAAATATAATATTAATAAATATTAATGTAAAATAATAAGAAACAATATAAATAAATATTAATAAATAAAATAAATATAATATTAATAAATATTAATGTAAAATAATAAGAAATAATGTAAATAAATATTAAAAACAGTAATAAAGGTTGATAATATAAAAGATAAATTATTAATATATGATCATTACTAATACAAATAAGTATTGCCCTTAATAAATATTAATACTAATAAAATATAATATTAATAAATATTAATGTAAATTAAGAAACAATGTAAATAAATATTAATAGTACCATAATAAATGTTGATAATATAAAATAAATTATTAATAAATGATTATTACTAATACAGATAAATACTGCTGTTAATAAATAATAATACTAATAAATAAAATAAATATAATCTTAATAAATACGAATGTAAAATAGTAAGAAACCATGTAAATAAATATTAATATCAACCAATGTTGATAATATCTACATTAATAATAATAAATACTAATATTAATACGAAACACTAACATTAAAAATAATGATATTTAGAAATCATAATGAACACTAACCTTAATAAAAATATCATTAAATATTGTATTCTATATAATAAAGATAGAATTAATATACAGTATGTAAATAAATATTAATAATATCCATCAACGTTGATAATACAATATCTACGTTATTAATGTATATAAATAAATAATAATAATAAATAAATAATACTAATATTAATAATTAACACTAACATTAAAATAATGATATTTAGAAATAATAATGTAAGAAACTATGTAAATAAATATTAGTAATATCAACCAACGTTGATAATATAGTATCTACGTTATTAATAATAAATACTAATATTAATACTAAACACTAACATTAAAATAATGATATTTAGAAATAATAATGAACACTAACCTTAATAAAAAATATAATTAAATATTATATTCTATATAATAAAGATATAAATAATACGAATACTAATAATAGCAGACCTGCCGGTTCCTCTCGTCCGTGATCCGCTGGATCTGAATCTTTTTCCTCCCCATTTTCTCCCAAAATCCTCACGCAAAAATATATATATTTGTAAAAAACGAAATGGGGGGCGGGAAGACCGCCCGCCCGCCCGCCTGCGGTGCTTTCCTTCCTTCCTTCCTTCCTTCCTTCCCGTCAAAGCGTTGCCGGCGTCCAGGAGGGAGGGAGGGGACGGCTCCTCTTCTTTCCGGCGTCCAGGAGGGAGGGGCTCCTCTTCTTTCCCGGAACCGACACGCAGGGAACGTCAGGCCCCGAATTACGAGCGGGAAGCCGGCCTCGGCATGGCCGTCGGTTCAGGGCATCCCACCGCCTTCTCTTCGGGAGCAAACGGGATCCGGGAAAGACGGGAAGTCGGGAAAGAGGGAGAGGAACCTGCAAGAGAGAGAGAGAGAGAGAGGAAAGAGTTAGGGAGTTCTAGTTTGCAGCACTTTGGGATGGGCTAGGTGAGGGGGTCTCCACCTTCCCAACGCCGTGACCCCTTAACATGTTGTGGAAACCCCCAATCATAACATTATTTTCGTTACGTACCGGAACCACCCGCAAAAAGTGAAAATCCGCGAAGGAGGGACGATAGAATTGAGCTAAACTTTCCACACAGAACCCCCATGTCATTTGGGAGTTGTAGTTGCTGGGATGTATAGTTCTCCTACAATTAAAGAGCATTCTGAGGGGGTCTCCGCCTTCCCAACGCCGTGACCCCTTAACATGTTGTGGTGACCCCCAATCATAACATTATTTTCGTTATGTTCCGGAACCACCCGCGAAAAGTGAAAATCCGCGAAGGAGGGACGATAGAATTGAGCTAAACATTACACACAGAACCCCCATGTCATTTGGGAGCCGTAGTTCCTGGGATTTATAGTTCACCTACAGTCAAAGAGCATTCTGGACTCCACCAACAATGGAATTGACCCCAATTTGGTACACATGACCAAGAGAAAATACTGGAAGGGTTTGGTGGGCATTGACCTTGAGTTTGGGAGTTGTAGTTCACCTTCATCCAGAGATCATTGTGGACTCAAACAATGATGGATCTGGACCAAACCTGGCACGAATACTCAATATGCCCAAATGTGAACACTGGTGGAGTTTGGGGGAAATAGAATCTTGACATTTGGGAGTTGTAGTTGCTGGGATTTATAGTTCACCTACAATCAAAAAGCATTCTAAACTCCACCAACAATGGAAATCAAACATGGCACACAGGACTCCCATGACCAACAGAAAATACTAGAAGGGTTTGGTGGGCATTGACCTTGAGTTTGGGAGTTGTAGTTCACCTACATCCAGAGAGCACTGTGGACTCAAACAATGATGGATCTGGACCAAACTTGGCACGAATACTCAATATGCCGAAATGCGAACATTGGTGGAGTTTGGGGATAATAATAATAATGGGAGTTGTAGCTGCTGGGATTTATAGTTCACCTACAATCAAAGAGCATTCTGGACTCCACCAATGATGGAATTGACCCCAACTTGGTACACAGAACTCTCATGACCAAGAGAAAATACTGAAAGGGTTTGGTGGGCATTGACCTTGACCATTCTGAACCCCACCAACGATGGAATTGGGCCAAACTTCCCATAGAGAGCCCCCATGACCAACAGAAAATACTGTGTTTGCTGATGATATTTGGCGACCCCTCTGATACTCCCTTGTGACCCCCCCCCCGCACCCCCGGGTTAGTGACCTTTGGGGGGGGGGCTTCCAACTCCTGGATCCACAATATATAATCATCATCCTCCTCATCAAATTGGAAGGGAATCCCAAAGGCCTTCCAGTTGTTCCTGACATATAGAATCATACATCATCATATAACATCATCATCATCATCCTCATCAAGTTGGAAGGGACCCCCAAAGGCCACCTAGTCCAGCTTCCAAGGGGGGCAGGCAGGCTGGAGGAAGAGCGGTTGGCAAGGACAACAGCTATATACGGTGTGTGTGTGTATGTGTGTATGTATATATGTATATGTGTGTATATATATATGTGTGTGTATGTATATATGTATATGTGTGTGTATATATGTATATGTGTGTGTATATATGTATATGTGTGTGTGTATATATGTATATGTGTGTATGTATATATGTATATGTGTGTGTATGTATATATGTATATGTGTGTATATATGTATATGTGTGTATGTATATATGTATATGTGTGTATGTATATATGTATATGTGTGTATGTATATATGTATATGTGTGTATGTATATGTGTGTGTGTATGTATATGTGTGTGTATGTATATATGTATATGTGTGTGTATATATGTATATGTGTGTGTATATATGTATATGTGTGTATGTATATATGTATATGTGTGCATGTATGTGTGTGTGTGTATGTATGTGTGTGTGTATGTATATATGTATATGTGTGTATGTATATATGTATATGTGTGTATGTATATATGTATATGTGTGTATGTATATATGTATATGTGTGTATGTATATGTGTGTGTGTATGTATATGTGTGTATGTATATATGTATATGTGTGTGTATATATGTATATGTGTGTGTGTATATATGTATATGTGTATGTGTGTGTATGTATATGTGTGTATGTATATATGTATATGTGTGTGTGTGCGTGTATATACACACACACACATATATATATGTGGAATATATTAATGCCATTGGTAAGGATTCCTGGGATTAAAAAGGCACCCCAAAGGCCATCCAGTCCATCCTCGTCCAGGAAATAGGAAGGCACAAGTGAACCCTTCCTGAAAGATGTCCATCCATCCACCCTTTGTTTACGTTTTTAAAAAGTCCATGGAAACAACAGCCAGACCCAGCGCTTGGGAAGGGGTTAGGGTCATTATTATTATTATTAGTATTCTCGGTTGGGCTCCATTGGCTTCTCTTGCTCTTGTTTGTTTTGTTTTGTTTTGTTTATTTTCTCGCAAGAAGGGAGGGGGGAGGGAGGGGGGAGCAGCCCGGGATGCTGCAGACAGAGCAGTCGCCATGGCAACCGTCGCCTGGCAACGGCTCTTCCTTGGCATCCCCTCGCTCTCCAGAGTTCAGCAGGAAGGCAACCGAGAGGCACACATACATACATACATACGTGCTTATATACATATATACACACACACACACACACACATATATTTATGCATGACATACATATTACATATGTGCATTATATATAGACACATGCATGTGAATGCATTATTTATAGAAATATATATATACATACACATACATATATAAGGCATACATACATACGTACGTGCTTATATATATATACACACACACACACAAATACATATATTTATACATGACATACATATTATATATGTGCATTATATATAGACACAGGCATGTGAATACATTATTTATAGAAATATATATATACATACACATACATATATAAGGCATACATACATACGTACGTGCTTATATATATATACACACACACACACAAATACATATATTTATACATGACATACATATTATATATGTGCATTATATATAGACACAGGCATGTGAATACATTATTTATAGAAATATATATATACATACACACATACATATATAATATATATACACACATTGGATTATATACATATATCATATCTGTGTATCTATAAAAATACACACATGTATTATATTTGTGCAGAACACAATATGAATATTACGTATACACTCATATGCATACAAACACATATCTGCATATATATGTGTACGTACGTATGTGTGTGTGTGTGTATACACACACCCAACATGTATATATATGCATATATACTTGCATATATACCTATATACAATATAACAACTGATGCACATGTTTGCATATATACATTATATATATATATATACACACACACATATACATACACACATACACAATATATATCTATACACACCCAACATGTATACATATGCCTGCATATATACCTATATACATACTCATACACTGATGCACATGTTTGCATATATACATTGTATATACATTGCATATATATATATATGCACACACAATATATATATCTATACACACCCAACATGTATACATACGCCTGCATATATACCTATATACATACTCATACACTGATACACGTTTGCATGTATACATTATATATATATATATGCACTCACAATATATATCTATACATACCCAACATGTATGCATACACCTGCACATATACCTATATACATACTCATACACTGATGTATGTTTGCATGTGTACTATATATATATATATATATATATATATATATATATATACACAATATATATATCTATACACACCCAACATGTATACATACGCCTGCATATATACCTATATACATACTCATACACTGATACACGTTTGCATATATATATGCACTCACAATATATATCTATACATACCCAACATGTATGTATACACCTGCACATATACCTATATACATACTCATACACTGATGCATGTTTGCATGTGTACTATATATATATATATATATATATATATATATATATATACACACACACACACACACACAACACACAATATATATCTATACACACCCAACATGTATACATACGCCTGCATATATACATAGGTATATGTATATACCTATGAGTATGTATATAGATACATACTCAGACACTGATACACATGTTTGCATGTATAAATTTTATATGCACGAGCATACAGCATACAGCAATATACATATACATTTGCATGAGTATATGATACACACACACACAATACACACGTATATACATACATTTGCATATGTGCCTATATGCCCCCCCACTAAGGTAGGAACACAATTAAGTCATACATTTAATATAACATAATAATATAAATAATAATATACGCTGTCTCTTTAAGAGGGTGGCCACGGTTTCTCCCTCCCCCCTGAGGCTGAGAGAGTGTGACCCCCTCCCCATAGGCTTCCATTGGATTTGGACCCGGATCCCCGGGAAGAGACGGACCGGACTTTTGTGAATTAGGAAGGAAGGAAAAAATTGAATGAAGGAGTGAAAAAAGGAAGGAAGGAAGGAAGGAAGAGGGAAGGAAGGAAGGAAGGAAGGAAGGAAGGGAAAGAGTGGAAGAGAGGACCCTTCCTGCCCAAATATATCAATACAGAAGCCACAGGTGAGCTGTGTGGTTTGGCTCAAGGTGTGCCCAGGAAGGAAGGAGGAAGGAAGGAAGGAAGGAAGGAAGGAAGGAAGGAAGGAAGGGAAAGAGTGGAAGAGAGGACCCTTCCTGCCCAAATATATCAATACAGAAGCCACAGGTGAGCTGTGTGGTTTGGCTCAAGGTGTGCCCAGGAAGGAAGGAAGGAAGGAAGGAAGGAAGGAAGGAAGGAAGGAAGGAAGGAAGGGAAAGAGTGGAAGAGAGGACCCTTCCTGCCCAAATATAT